ATAGTAAATATTTTGTTTTACATTTATGATTGTTATAGACATTAAATTATAGTAACTGTCTAAATTGTCAGTGGGTGGCACAGTGGCACAGTTAGAGCTGCTGCATCTCAGTGAGAAGGTCGCCGGTTCAAATCCCGTCCCGGGACATTTCTGGGTGCAGTTTGCATGTTCTATCCGTGCATGCGTGGGTTTTCTCCAGGTACTCCAGTTTCCTCTCACAGACCAAAAACATGCTTGTTAGGCTGATTGGTAACTCTAAATTGTCTCTAGGTGTGAGTGAGAGAGTGAATTTGTCTCTATGTGTCCCTGTAATGGACTGGAGACCCGTCCTGGGTGTACTCCGCATCTCCCACAGTGATGGCTGGACATGGGCACCAGTGACCCCCGCGACCCGAAAAGGAAGAAGCAGGTAAAGATAACAGATGGATGGATGGATAATTTGTCAGTGGCCTCAGTTACTTTTCATAAATCTAAAAAGGCATTGTCTTGCATTTTAGCATAATAAAGTATTTATGTATTTTTGCAAATATGTTTATTTATTTTGCACCTGGAAATCATTTCCCAAGTAGTCTGGCAGTACTATGGTTTGCAGCAAAGGCCTTACACATATCATCAGGCTCAAGAAAAAAAATTAAATTGTATTCATGGGCTGCAGTGGTTTAGAAGAGCTCTCTGCCATTTTTGTTTCTGTAGCTACATTGCAATCCACCCCTTGGACTGTACCAGAGCCAGGACGTTGCAAATAAAATATGAATAATGGCTAATTTACACTGAATGTGTGAGCTGCTTATCTGTCAGGAACCCGAGCACTTCATTACAAACTGTAAACAAGGACTACATATATCATCTTGATCACAGACCCATCATCAATAACTATTGATTCGCTTGTCAACAGTCATTTTAGAATGCGTCCAGCGATGGCAGATTTAGGAAATGCACCATTTTTGCTTCGTTCTATCTGTATAGCAGTTATATTGAGTATGGCTTAAATCACCATCTGATTGATTGTTCAGTGTGAATACATGGACGTGGAGGTGATCATTATTGTGAATAGAGCCAAACGCCTCAGATTTGAGTAGATAATCTTCAATCCACTTGCTTCAATTTTTACATTTCCTTTATGGTTTGACCATTTCTTTCATGTCTACATTTTGTTACAAAAAAAATCAAAGCAGTGATAGTTTGACACATTCAGGGTACATATCTGAGCTATTATTCAAAGAAGGGGGATTCATTGGAATGCTGATTAAACCACGGCCCCTCCTTTCTTGAACTGTCTCTAAATGTTGCCTTAAAGTAATCAACCCAACTGCAGATGCCACCGTGGCAGCTGAGATCTCTTGGTGTATTTATGGGGCGAGCGCTGTTGGAACTGCTTGAATTATTGATGACCCCCGATGCAGATTTATCTGTGACCTCGAGGCCACCTGGATGCAAACACACGCATTAACACACACACACTAAATCAGTGTTTTTCTGCGTTAGGCTAGAAACGAAGCTTCTGTGATTGATTTTTTCTCTTTGAAATGGTGGCAGATTACAGTGTGTGAGATCCATTAGCCACCAGTAACACCAGGTGCAAACACTGATGGGCCTTCATTTATTTAGCCCACACGTATTGGTCCAATGGGATAAATTGTTCAAAGCACTGATGCATCCAGCAAGTTACAGCACTTACCTACATTATGTAATAGGTCTAAGCTACACATACACACATACTGTACATACTACGTTTGCCAATAGAACAGTTTGTTTTGTGTTGTTTCTGGTTTCTGTGGTGACTTTCAACATCCTTTTATGAAGTTTTTTTTTTCCCCCGCAAACGTAATTTTGTGGCAAAAGTTCACGATCAAAAAGACATAAACTAATCCTTGGCCTTGTGTTTGTGCTCTCTCTTTGCATCCTTTACCCATGCTCAAACATGGTACTTTCTTAGTAGGTCAGCCTGCCACATGTACTTCCTCTCAGGAAACCTCTGCGGGATCTTGATCTTTCGGAAGTCTTGAATGCACTTTTCCAGCTCCTCCTCAACAGTTAGCTTCTCCTTCGCGGGCCGCTTCTTGCTGCCGCTGGTGTCTCGAGAACTGGCGGTAAGGGTGCGGAGTAAGTCACTCTTCCGTCGCTGTTCAGACTGCTGAAGCATGCTAACCGGGCCTTTCTTAAGCGGCCTATCCAGGGTGTGAACCTTGGTATGAGGATGTGACTGACGACTGACGGGACCGCAGATGACCGTTCCCTGGGGAGAGCTGGCTTCTGACTGACTCTCTGAGCTGGAAGTGGAGAGCTCGTTGAAGGAGGTGCCGCTCTCGCCTTCTCCATCACCCTTGTGGTTCTTGCAGCAGCAGTCGCATGGAGGGGAGGACCAACGTGATGGACCACCTGGAAAGTAAGAAGAACTAACATGAGAATCTTCACAGAGCTTCTTTTGTTACGTTGAACCTTTTCTTTCTTTCACCAATCATCATGAAGAGGGAAAACTTGACAACAGCACAAAGCGGAGCACAAATTAAACAGACGAGGGGGGGAAGAAAAAATCAAAGTAGGAAGCACTAAAGAAGACAAAGGCAAAAAGTCAGCCGCTGCCAAACGGCTATCACTTAGAACAAAGTGACGTGACATCAGGAAGAACTGGCTCGCCTCCAGACAAGTCATAAAAGTGAGCTGAGTGACTATGAAAAGCCTGCGCCGCTCAGAGAAGTATCCTCATCCATCAACCCTGTCACATGTAAAATTTAAAGAGCTGAACCCTTTTAAAAACAGACAGACAATAAACATTTATGAATGCGCTTCGCACATGGACCGGTACATACTATCGCACCTAAAAATGGAGAAGTATTAGTGCTAGACAGAGTTTGTTTTTTTTTTTCTTTTAAGAATATTTCAAACCTCTCTTTAGGAGGGTTGTATCTGTTGCACCCTATAAGATATTAAGACTTTAAAACAGGGCTATTCAACTAAACTGCTCAGGGGGCCACAGTTACTGGAAGCCTGCAGCTCAGGGGTCGGACATCCAGCAATTAAAGTCATTATGTAAATAAACCAAGTATTACAATGATCTGTTACTTTTTAAATTTGTTTATTTTGTTGCATTGACTCATAAATGCAATAAACAGAACCCAAACCCAGAACCCCCCCCCCCACATTTTTTTCATTTAACTATATTTTTAATTAACTTATTGGTGAGTCAGATTGAAGTCATCTGTGGGCCGGAAGTGGCCCATGAGCCACCAGTTGAATAGTCCCACATTAAGACGTATCATTTTATGGCTGTAAGTGTTTTTATATATATATTAACCTTTTATTTAAAAAAAACTTAGCTTCAAAAAGCATGTGTGCTTATAACAGATAAAAAATGATGGGTTTTAAAGTAATATTAATGCCAAACCTATGTCTCTTTGTTTCAGAGTGACTGTATACGTTATAAAATATAGCGCAATATGATTATATATTATTATTATCAATATAATTCAAGATGGCAACCAAATCTAATTACAAATGGCTACACATCAGCTGTTTTTAGAGCTACTGAGTTGAAATTCGATGTGTTGTAGCTGAGAACAATCACAAACTGAAGCCAAATCAAAATTCCAAAACACCCGCCATAGTTTAAAAGAATAGATGATTATAACTCATTGATTTTTTTTTTTTTTTTTTTGGTCATATTGAGCTGAAATTGAATATGGTGGAAGCTTGAAGCGGTCCCCAACACACAGCGAAGTCACATCATAAATTTAACAAAGTCTCCCTAGGAACTTTCATTGTATAAGGTTTGGTGGATAGAAGCATAGAAATACTTTGTAAACTTAGATTGTCTGTTTTTAAGCAATATATCTCCTAAACAGCTTATTTTGTTTGTTTAAATCTCGCAGAAAGTAATCTTTGAACTTGCTGCCTCTTTGCCAAATCCTCATTGAAAATGAGAAATTGTTCTCGAATGACTAACCTGGTTAAATAAAGGTCAAAAACATAAAAATAAATTAGAAGTCATTTTTAAAGGGAAATAAAGCAGCTGCCAGTGATACTAAACACATAATGTGACTTCTAACAGATGCTTCTGTTTTTGGTTTCAAACACAGATTAAACTGAGAGGAATAATGTTTGTTAGCAAAATATTATAAGAATAATTTAACAGATTTTAATGAAACTCTCAGGAAGTAAGATGTAGCTGAATATATAAAACGGATGAGTCGTTCTAATTCAAGAGGATGGCGCCGCTACTCTAGCAAACACAACTTTATCTTCAGTCATTTTTACAAAAGTGAGCTAAATATAACGGTGAGTGATAAAACACACTGGATGCTAAACGATCTTTCAGTTCCTTGTTTTTGCCATAAATCATGTATATAATTTTGCATTAGATTGCACACATGCTAAATAGGCTACAGCTCCAGCACTTCTTAACAAAACTATGATTGTTGGTTAAAAAGTGTGGATGATGTGCATTCCTTCAACAAATGGTTGGCCTTTGTTTTTTTTAATGAATATGTATATTTTTTTATTTAATTGTGGTAAATTTGACTGTATTTGCTTAGTTTATTGCATTTCTGGATGTTTATTCTGATTATCTTTATTCTTTCTATTCTTTTTTTTAATGTATTTCTATGACTTTAGTTTCTCCTTAGATCCCCGTGTGTCACACTCTTGTCATTTCAGTGATTTTCTCAGCTGCTTTCACTCAGTAATCAATGCTTTTTGTCTAAATTGCGTTTCTCAGTCATTTGTCAGTTTTCTTGTCAAAGTTCACAGTTGTCTTTAGGCTGTCCTGGTGGTTAGTTTCCTGTGCCAGAATGGTTGTTTTAGTGTTAGTTTATTTCTTTGTTTCAATTGTTGAAATTGATATATTTTCTTGTCTGGTGTGTTCTTGCCCACCCTCTTCAATCCTTGAACCATAAACCTGACAACAGTAGCAAATATGTAGATTTATAAATTTCCGTTTGATTTTACTCAGTTCTACACAAACATTTATGAGCAACCACAAAGGGTTAATTTATTTTAAAGCAGCTCTGTGCTGAACCTTCATACGCAGAAAGGATACTTGCTTAACAGAACCAAGTGTGACATACAGAGTTGATGGATTTGACTATTATTGTTTATGAACAATCGTTTGGGGCAAAGAAATTGCTTAAAACCACTTTCAGGCTACAGCACATATTTGTTTTAAACATTTTATGTACAGTTCATCTATATAACAAAGTCCATGCTCAATAATCCAGGTATACAATCCAACATTTTTCAGTCAGGTCATCTGGACAGTTTCTTTTTTTTGTTTGTGCTGAAACGTTTCGCCTTCAATCCGGAAGACTTCATCAGTCAAGGAAACGCACAACAAAACAGATTCTTCTCCCAACATCTTACTCCAAAGTGGAAGTTCATCTGTATATGTAGATTTTTGTTTTACCCATTGTATGAAAGTGACTTATCTAAGATCTGCTAATTATTTATATCTTGTGAGTCCTCGAGGCTCAATGTCACTAAGCTTGAATTAATTGATGAATTTAGTTTTAGCTATGCTCACCATTGCAAAAAAAAAAATAAAAAAATAAAAAGTCTATTTATTTATTTATTTTAGCCAAAGTGCCATATTTACGATTTTCTAACATTGGCATTGGTTGGTTGGTGTTCTTCAACTTATTTTATTTTAAATTTCTAAAAAGCCTAAAAGCCTCACCTGTTCATTTCTCCATCCAAACTTGCACAACACTCAACTTTAAAATCAAATGTTTTAAACGTTTGTGCAAATATCTAATAAGTGGATTTCTGCAGATATTCCATCCAAACCTGATTAAATCTGCTTTGCCAACCTCAGTCTTTATGTGTCCCTGTGATGGACGGGAGACCTGTCCAGGGTGTCCCTCGCTTCTCGCACAGTGACTGCTGGATATGGGCACCAGTGACCCCCGTGACCCGAAAAGGAAGAAGCGGGTAAAGATGATGGATGGATGGATTATCAACCTCAAGTCTCAAACTAGCAAGTGTCAAGTATTCAGTGCCTTGGTGTTGATGAGACTGAGGCATCTGTCTGGTACCTGTGGTTTGGACCAAGAATAACAGTAAAGCAGCGATCCACAATTACCACCAACAGGAAGCTGTTTCTCAGCTTTTATCCTCTGTGTGAAAGCACCAACGCCTAAAAGACTCAGGAACCAGAGCTGTTCCACACCTCTCATTGCAGGAAGCAGCCATTTATTTTTCATGCTAACCTCCTGAATAATTGAGGGGGTATCTGTTGCTGATGGACTTCTCTCTGTTTAGTGAGGAGAGATCAAAACCCTTGAGGCAAATGCACTCACGCCCCACCCTGACCTCTGATTGTAAGAGTTGCATCTCTCCATCTACATTTCCACACAACTGTGTACTGTTAGGTTCAGGTTTCCATGTGTGTTCTGTTCATCAAATTCAATGTCAGAAAAAACGTCATTCCTGCTGAGCATTTGACTTCAAATAAAACTGTATAAATAATGCTGCTTAAAATACAACTTTCTGCTTTTAATTTTCTCCATCCCCTGCATCATGATGCCTTGTTTATGGAGCGACTGCACAATAGACCAATATTTGCTCCCCCCCATAAACAGCAGCACATCATAACTATCTTTATGTGAGTATAAATAGAAGATGTATTTTGTGAACAGCTTTACAGTGACTTCGGATCCCATGCTCACACACACACATACACACACACACACACACACACATACTGCTGCTTTCTGTATTTGAAGTAAACCTCACTCATCAAAGCCTGTGACAGAAATGGAACAAGGCCCCCTTTTTTCATCCACATCAGCTCTGGATCTCTTTAATTACCCCTGACATTTACACCTCTCCACTTTTACACACAAACATGCTTCAGTGCACACAGAAGCAGTGGTTTTCAACTGTGTGTCTCTGCAGCCCCTTTTCACAGGGTCACCAACAATTAAAGGGGGTACATGAGGCTTTGATCACTCGGAGGTCACACGGTTGTTGACGATTCAGGTGGGTTGAATTTTCATAATTGCACATTTGCAAAATAATTTAAAGTGTTTATGAAGCTGCTTTTGTGCCCAAAGATCTACAGATGCAAATATATTTGTTGATATTCTTCCGTCTGTCGTCTTTACCCACTTTTCCATTCAGGGTTGCAGGTGAGCTGAAGCCTATATCCAGCAGTCATTGTGCAATGGGCAGGGTTGGTATACTCTTCCACAATAAAAAAAAAATAATAAAAAGGTCATTGTCACTTCCCAAAAAAACTCGAGTTTCATTTTATCCTCAGAAACTTCTTCAAAACAAATTTTGAACTTATGTAACAGATGAAAAGCTTAATGAATTTC